GCCCCCGCCCCGGCTCAGCCGTGCCCGGGGGCTGGGGAGGTCTCATTGCAAGAAAACGTGGGTCCTAATGGCTCCATCAGTGATATTTTTTTTTTTTTTAAAAAAAAAAAAAAAGGAAAAGTTATTTTTTCCTTGGGTGCTTAGTACGCAAGTTTCCCCAGCCATGCTGCGGATCATTAATTCCCGGCGCTTATTACATAACAAATATATGCTCTGCAAATGAGAGACATGGCAAAGTGCTTGCGAAGCAGAGCTGGGAGTCGCGGGGCACCAGCTCGCGCTCAGCTCCTGCCACAGAAATTAGAGCAAGTAGGGAAAAACCACCTCCAGAGGTTGGCATCAAACAGCCCGAACGCCTCCCTCCTTACCGATGGCTGGAGGTGCCCGGCGGTGAACCCCTCTCCCACCGGCGCAGGAGGGTTTATTTTGTCCGCCGGTTTGTTTACTGCTCCGTCAGTTTGGTGTCGGGCGGAGAAACTCTATCAACCTGCAGAAATATTGATTTTATTGACTCCAATCCTAGAGTTTCAACAGCTCCAGCCGGTGCTTGAGGCTTTATTGGGAGGTTTATTGGGAGGTTTATTTCAGTAAGCGAGAGGGCAAACGGCGGTGCCGGCTGGGGAGGAGATCCGGGGCGGCGGAGAGGGGGGACACCGGGGAAAAGCCACCCAGGGCACGGAGACTGCAGGTACCTGCCCCTCACCGGGACCACTCGGGATCAGCCTTGGGAGATTGGCACACTTTTGGCAGAGTTTTAGAAACTGGAGAGGAATTCTTCCAGCATGGGATGGGCTGAGCGTCGCAGACTGCCGGAGGAGCGGGGACTCCATCTTCCTGAGCCAGATGGTTTAGGATCTATTTCTGTATCTACAACCACCAACAGGCAATTAGTGGGGTTTCCAAAAAAACCTCCGCAGAACCTACTGTGCTCCTACAGGTTTTCATCTTTTGCTCTCTCCCCAGCAGCATCCACCCTTCCCTTTTTGGCCCCCTGAGCTGCGCCCGTATTTTCAGTCTGTCCCCAACCTCCCGGGTACAACGCTGAGCCAGCCCCGGCTGGGGGAGCAGGGCTAATACAGACCAGTAACACCCAGTAAAGTCCCTGGAGCAGCAGGCATCCCCATACCTTTACCGCCTCTTTAGCATAAGTGCATTTTCGAAAGAGATTTCAACATGCCGTTAGAAAACCCTCAAACCAACAAAAGCCAAAACAACGCCCTTGTTCAGAGCTACAAAATCCCACGTGCCTCCGAGACGAGTGGTTATCCGCTCAGCATCGCTCGGGCTAAGTTAAGATCCAACCTGAGCTTAAAGCCAGAGTTGACTAAAATAACTGAGTTTGACAAATAACCGCACCTGAAGCCGGATGCAATTTCCACAGGTCCTGCCCACGCCTCCGCGCAGCGTTCGGCTGCTGCGGGAGGACAAATGAATCGGGATTGACAAACCCCCATGACAAACATCCTATTTCCACAGCCACCAACGTGCACCCTGCCCGGTGGTAAAAACACAGGCGTGCGCGGTCCTTCTCTTCCTTCGGATTCATAACCCCACAAATCACGTCAGATCACCCCCGACAGATTTTGAGCTGTTACAGCAAAAGGAAGGATCACCGCTCGCTCAGTTTTAGCGACAGCTCTGGAGGTCCCACGTTGTATGTCCAACGTGTTATTTAACAAAACACCTCTGCCGTTGCAGAGACAAGATGCATAAATGGGAAATGCAACACCGTAGCTCCAGCAAGAGGCTCCGAAAACGTGTACGATGTTCTTATGACTGCAGGTGTGTGGAAGGGTGAGAGGAGAGCTGAGGCCACAGGAACACAGCAGCACCTGCAGCTCGTCATCCTCCCCTGCTCCCCTCTCCCCACTTGCACAAAATCTCATCAAAGACTGTGTTGCCATGACTAATTACAGGTGACATGGAGTCTCTGCCCCAGTTTCTCCTGGGGGAGAGGGAATCCTTGCCTGAAGCAGCAGAACACATCCCCACACGTTGCAGGCGCATCTCACCTGCAACTTCCCTCCTGCTGTGCCTTCATCCCCGGGGGAGGCTGGTGGAAGAGGCTACCGGCAGCTCAGCCCGAAGCGCCCCGCAGAGCCGTGGGCAGCAAGGCAACGGGCTGCTGCACGGGTGGGAGTGGGGAGCCCAGCCTGCGGCACCCGGAGAAGCGACGGTGCAGCTCCAGCCCGCTTTGGCCCCCACAGCATTGCAGGCATTGCGCCTGCCCTCCACCAGGAGGAGAGAAGGATCTGGAGCCCGACCTGGAGGAACGGTGCAAACTAAGGACACGTCGACCTGCTTTCCACACGCAGACGTGAGCATCCTCTGCCTGTTTCTGTGCAAAGGGCTCCTCACGTTGCCCAGGCTTCTCGCTGGCTTTGGTGCCGGAGCTGCAGAAGGGCAGGGGCTGGGGCAGTCTGCAGCCATCGTTAGCATCGTTACCATCCGTGGCGTTTGGCTCAGGGTCGGCCCACGCTGAGCCTCGCTCATGCCTGAAGGAAACGAACCTGACGCGAGCCACATCCGAGCTCACCACCTCCAGTGGCACAGGCATGGTGCAAAGCCAACTACGCGGAGGAAAACAGCCCTCCGGCCCCCGCTGCATCTCGACCGGCACAGCTGGAGGCTTTACCTCTCTTTTTTTTTAATATCTAAGCTGGAAGTTGCAGAACTATTCTTCCATTTTGCACACCGCACTGTGCTGCCGCTCCTCCTGAAAGGCGAAACGGGGTTTCGTGCTGTACCCGCATCCTCCGTGGCCGTGCCAGCACTCTGCCTGGGGAGCAGCAGAGCAGGGCTGCGGGACGAGCCGCCAGCGTGCCAGGGTTGCCCTGTGAGCCCTGTCAGGGCGAGAGGCGATCCACAGTGACAACGCTGCAAGATGCCACTAATCCACCCGCCCAGCGCGCAGCACACAGCGGAGGCTCCATGAGCCCTTGTGCTCCCGGGGAAGCTGCTCTCTGCTGTCGTTGGCATTTTTATTTAAGGAGCCGGAGGGGATTTGGCAGTGGTGGAGCAAACCTGTGCCTTGTCACCCCTCTCCTGGCACTGCCGGTGCCCACGGTTCCCTTCTCCACGGCAGCACCTCCACCCCTGGCGTTTGCCTTCATCCTGGAGGGATGCCCTGCTGTGCCGTGGCCATGCTGCTGCTGTGAAAGCCCGGTCCTGGGGACAAGTCAGTAGGCCAGTAGGTTGAGGGAGGTCATCCTCCCCTTCTGCTCTGCCCTGGGGAGGCCACATCTGGAGCACTGTGTCCAGTTTGGGGCTCCCCGGGGCAAGAAAGACAGGGAACTGCTGGAGAGGGTCCAGCAAAGGGCTAC